TGTCTCCCTAATTCGGGCTTCAATCCACAGAGGACATTTATATCATTCACATTCTGCCATTTGCACAATCTATCACAAGTCGGCTGCAACCTGTTAAGGCTAGCAAGCCAAGATATAAAGCACAATCTTGGCACATTTGGATTAAACCAAATTAGCCTATGCCAACTTACCTTGGCCTTCTTCTCTCTAGTTAAGCACCATGCATCAGCCTGAGCGAAATCACCAAATTTAGAGCCCAAGAAGACCACTCTATCTGGTTGAGAGCAAGGCATTAAAGTTCCACACAGCTCAGCCTGAATTTCAGCCAGATTATTTAATCTAGCAGTAGTTTTGCCAAAACCACTCTTTCCTCTTATGCCAGTTGACGCTCATTTCCTCTTTCAAAACATAAAAGTAATGACATTTAAAGATTTTGACGAAATTCGAAATTGACCTTCTAGGTTGGCTGTACCCAAGCAGTTTCCCCGCACCTATGGTTTATTTTTGTTTCTTTAATCATGTTTATGTCAAAAAGTTGCTCCTTATTTTGAAACCAAAACAGGTGGCCGAGAGGAACATCGAACATTGCCGAGATTATAATCACTACTATTCAGTAATGAAGTATACTGACATTTAAGCGCATATCTGCCAAGAAAGCAACTAATCATGTTACAACTAACACAGAAGCGCGAACAAATGAAAAGATTTGAGTAAGAAATAAATTACAGAAGATTTACGGGGTGTGGTTGTGCCCCTACTCAACAAGGAGAGGTCGACGAGATAGTTCAACCATCATCGGCAAAGAAAAGATTACAATCGCTCGAACACCCAACTCTCAATTGTTTTCCCACTCCTAGAAAACACCCAGATCCATGAGAACCAATCACAAAAAGTGGATTTAGATTGAGATAGAATAGGCTAAAAGTGGATTAAAAATCCTCCAAATCTTCTCTGTACTGTAGAAAATTCTATCACAATTTTGGTACAATCCAAAATAGGATTAAAAATCTTTGAAAATCTCACTATCCTAGCTTCTCAGATCTCACTGCTTGAACTCCCTCACCAAACGTCTCAAACCCACTCTCTCGATCTCCCTCCTGATGGTCTCCTTCACAACCTGTTTCGCCAAATCCACCGCCATCTCCACCTCTAGACAGTAGTCCTCGACTAGCTTCACCGTATTAGAGGCGATTCGGACACCGTCAAAGATGAGCCTTGGGTTGCGCGTCGTGAAGTGATCAGGGAGGTAGCGGCCGTGGCAATCTAGCAAATGAGGGAGCAACGACTGATGTAGAGGTGAAGGGTGGTGACAGGGTGGTGGATGTTGCATGCGAAGCTCAGGTGCCAGTTGATGTCCAAGCCGATGATTTAGGATAGTGAGGTGCAAAGAGGAGGTGAATGGAGATCCACCAGTAGATGGCACTGGGGCAGCGAGTAACAAGGGCAGACACGCCTCTGTTGTGGACGGCAGATCCTTCGAGCGCACTCGTGAAAGGATTCAAGTTCTTCGATGGTGATGGACATGTGACGTATAACTTCTCCTTTTCACTCTCAGTCATCGGAGCACAATTGGCTGGATGGCGATGACGATCGGTGATGGTTGGTGGCAAGTACGATTGCATGGTGGTCGGATGTGATGATCGGTTGGCGTGAAGGTGGTACTCACGCGGTGTCCGGCGAAGCCGAATGCGTCACTCCATCACTCTTGGAAGAAAATTGTTAAGTTATTTTTTAAATTGTTTTATCCAATCTAGATTTATCCCAACCTTTTCCTAGATTTTTTATCCGGCATTTTATCTAGGTAACTCCCGGTTTATCTGGTCTAGAGAACATCGCTAAACACCGGATATGGTATTTTGTTACCTATCCAAACTCAAATCCACACTATCAAACGTATATAATAACTCTTAATGCTTTTTGTGTCTCTCGCAAGTCTCACACAGATTAAGCACATTCATTATGTACCAGAGACCAAACTTGACAACAGAATATTTACATGCAAAATTACCTATGGGCCATTCTTCGACATCTACATGAAACCCCAAAAAGGAAAGGTCTTGCGTGAAATTAAATTTCCTTTTCTGCATCACTCACCCACATCCTGCTAGCAAGAATTCAATTCGGACTTTCCTAATACAAGCCAAGTTCCTTGCAATTCAATTAGGTGTCGGATTTTAAATCAATCGACATCAACTTCGAGCCACAATCAACAAATCGCTATCTAGAGTCATTCTAAGTGATAAAAATAACCGTAAAGAAGCCACCACATCGAATGATCCTACTTTCAGGGAAGAAAAATATAATTGTACAGAAAAATTAGACGGCATTAACTGGGTAAATTCCGGAAAACATGGCTGGCAAGCGGACATAGAAAGAACTTTTAAGGAATTCAACTGTGCCATGATGGTTCTCTGCATATTATGCTGCTCCATAAGAGAGAATTCTATTTCCAACCGCACAAACATTAAAATTAAGATCCGAAGAGCAAAATATATGGCTGCGTTTGATCGTTCGGATTTTTAAACAGGATAGGACTGGATAGGATAAGATAAGAAATCTCTGGACTTCTTCATATCATATCCACTGTTTGGTGAACTGCGAATTTAAATTCGGATATTCTTATATCCTATCCTATCTAGTGTTTGGTGAACTGCTGATTTAAAGTCATATATTCTTATGCATAATTATACTTGAAAAAACAAAAACATTAGGCAAGTACAAATTGACAGATTAGATTATAGCAAAATCATCCAAAACAATATATCTTTTTCAAATAGATAGATTTTCACAAAATCTCACAAAATCAATCTATTATTCGCATTGTATGCAATATGCATAAAGAACAAAAGCAAAAGGAAATTTTCGAAGTAATAGCCCAAATATCTACTTTCAGAAATTTGCGCATGCTTGAATTTAGATCAAGATAGCTTCAAAATTTCCCCACGGGGTCTCTATACAAGTGAAACAATCAAATCATGATTGACGTAAGAAATATCTGCAAACGTGATGTTCTATTCATCATAATAGTAATCAACTCGACTTTGTTAAATTATGTACATCAGTCTCTTTTTCCTTTTAAAAATGACACCGCGCATGCTAATATGAGACAAGTCAATTAAGACTAACATGAGAGCATTAGAGATATGAAAAATATTTGACATTTAGATTATATATGTAATGTTCACAGTAAGTTGCACATGGAAAAGTAACCAAAAGATTTGAGTATGGTCATGAGACATGGTCTTAAGATTTTGTGGAAGAAAAGTCTCTTCCGAAAAGCCACAAAAGCATCACCAGAAAAGGCATGAGGACTAAACATCAAGAGAGCACTCCGTCATAAATTCAAGATGAATCATCAGAAAAGTTTGTTTCATTATATTGAATTTGACCACCATATGAGGCAAACTTCAGCAGAATAAAAGCAAGACACTATTAAGTTCAAGATGCATATTGTACCTAAAGGTCCCAAACAAGACTCAATATGACTACATAGAGGGACTATACAAGAAAAAACACCTTCAAAAAACGTGTGATTCCAATAAATAGCGAAAAGAACATTGCTCAATATTGTTAATTGTCATAAATCAACAAAGGGACTACACAAGAGACTTATTACTTATAAACAAAATAAGGTACAACTTTCCCCTTTCAACTTGCACAAATCCACTGTGTCTCATCGCTCTAAGAACATTACTCATTCTCTTCTATCATCTCTTGGAGAAGCAATTGCACAAATGCCTTCCTGTCGTCTCCTTGAAATCCAAAAAAAAGATGAATATTCTCAGGATCCTTCACAATTTTTCTGCATAGTTTTATTCTATCCATAGTACCTAGAGACATTTGAAGAAGCTCCTCATTAATTTTTCTCTTGTCATTATCCAAATCTTTAGCATGTCCGACGCAGCTAGCAGTCACCTCCATCCTCTCGTTAGCTTTTTCCAAGAAAGGGCCAAAAGTGCCTGCAATCTCAACTAACCCAGTAGCCCATTTATCACTTGCTTTAGCCCTTTTTCTTCTCGAAGGATTAGAAACATTTTGTGTTTGAGAAGATGATAGTGATGGTAAGTTTTGACTTACACCATTAGTTGCCACACCATCATGATTCTCACCTTCTTCATTATCTACAACCACATGAGCTTATGAAGGGTCTTCACTGAGATTTCCCTTGGTACGGTCTTTCCAAATATGGTTGCGAGTTGATCATATTGGGGGCAGATATTCCCTCTCAAAGAAGCAACTCCTGGATAGGTCTACAAAGAAAATATAATGTTTTATTAAAAAAGAAACATGTAGTAAAGAAGAAAAAAAATGAGAAGAAGTGATACAAATCTTGCAATATTTTTGCCAACTATCCTCCGAATGAATATCAACACAATGCTTTTCATGATCTTACCCAAAGCCACTTTGATCCTTCAAGTCATATATTTGATTGTACAACTTTTTCAAGTTTTTCATCTTCGACTCTATGTGAGGATTACCCTTGATGCCAGAACCAGGGAACTTTTCTTCAAACCACTTCTCTAACATAGTCATGTAACCACTCTTGAAGCCGTTATCGGCTTTCATTCCTCGTGCAACTAGTTCTTCAAGACCATCTAGAAGTGAATTTTCTTAATCTATTGTTCATACACGTCGGTCTCTCTTTGTTCCCCTTCCTTAAGTGTGACTGAAATTGCTACCTTCCATTCCTAAACATCTCATTTAATTTTAGAAAATTTAATGATAGAGGATAGTGCAGTAGAGAAAATTTAATGATAGAGATAGTGTAGTACCAAAAATTTAAAATGATACAGCCATAATTCAAACATTGCATAAGAAATATGTCTCAATAATGACAAACCAACACCATATTGCACATGTCTAATAGAAATGAAAAAAACAACATCTTACAACACAAGTCTTGCAACAATGGGAAACAAATGATTTTTTTAAATAATGTCAAATCATGCATCTCCTCTATGTCCTCGACTTGCATTCCACTCATTAAACATCTGTACTGCCAAATTTTGCCTCCATGTCGTCTAATGATCTGACAGCTCAACAGCATCAATTGTTTCCACATCTTCAATGATGTTAGCAACTTCATCTAACTGTAACTCAATTGGATCAATAGCCATTTCTCTTCTTATCAAGTTGTGTATAAGGCAACAAGCTATGATTATTCGACCTTGCGTTCTAATTGGATAAAAAGATGGACTCCTAAGAATAGCCCACCGTAACTTAAGTAGACCGAAGCATCTTTCTATGACATTTCTAGCTTGAGAATTCTTCATGTTGAAGTACTCCTCAGGGGAATTTGGCATACAACCTTCTGTCCACTCGGATAGGTGGTATCGAGTACCTCTATAAGGAGCAAGAAAGCCATCCCCATTTGTGTATCCAGCATCTACAAGATAATAATTACCTAATGACAAATGATAACATTATTAATTGTCTTAGAATTGTTAAAACCAACATGACAAAGTATGCAACATATTGATAAAGGCTTATCTTACCAACGGGAATCTTCAGACCATTAGGTTTAACTAAAGCATCTCGAAGTACTCTAGAATCCGCCGATGAGCCTTCCCATCCAAGTAAAACATAAACGAATCTCATGTCACGTGAGCAAACTCCTAACACATTGGTCGATACCTCACCCTTAATATTTTGGTACCTTGGTTTATCAACCTCCGGAACACGTACCCTAATGTATGTGCCATCTAATGCTCCTAAGCAACCCTAGAAACATGAAATTAATGAAATAACCTTATCCTTAAAGTATTAAATTAATCCATGTAATAGCATAGCGAACATACCTTAAACCTGTGACATTCTGAAATCTGACCCACTTGGGATTTATGAAATGAATAGTTTATGGACGTGCTTGTAGTTAGATCTCGCCCGGAATTGATCACTTCGGGAATACTAACCGTTAGGAAAAGGCTAATTAGAGGTTTAAATTCGCGCGACCAAAGAACTCGATCGTGAACCGACTTTCGACCACGAAAATTGTCGAGGTGACATTTTGAGCCAATTTAGGCCAATCCAAGGATAGTTAGGGACCAGTTCACCACTGTCATATTAGTGGATCGTGGGTGATTCCGCTAGATCACGACATGAATTGACGAATGATCCCAACCCTATACCAGACGATCGCGCCTGTCGGAACTAGCGATCGATCCTCGCGATTAAGTGACAACCGAGGTCGTCACGACCCGAGTAAACTTGTACGTGACATGATTTAGTATCAGCAACGGGTCAAATGTGCGAATTTCCTCAAAAGCCACCCGTTAGTTTGAGATACGTGCAAGTTACGTTATTTAGAACTTAGTCATTAATTAGGGCAAAAGAACACTACAAGTGCCATAACTTGTGTACGGCGCTCACTTTAGTGCCATAACTTTTTTTTGGATCACTTTAGTGCTAAAATTTTTGAAAAACGATCACTTAAGTGCTAAAATTTTTTGAAAAACGATCACTTAAGTGCCAACTCCGGTGCCGTACACAATTTTTCGCCGGAAATCTGACGTGGCATTTTTTTTATTAATTTCTGAAGCTGACGTGGCTCGCCGGAGTCTCGCCGGAGATTGGCACTTAAGTGATCGTTTTTCAAAAATTTTAGCACTTAAATGTTCGTTTTTCAAAAATTTTAGCACTTAAGTGATCGTTTTTCAAAAAATTTAGCACTAAAGTGATCCAAAAAAAAGTTATGACACTTAAGTGATCGTTTTTCCTCCGACTTGGCACCAAAGTGATCCGAAAAAAAGTTATGGCACCAAAGTGAGCGCCGTACACAAGTTATGGCACTTATAGTGTCCTTTTGCCCATTAATTAGGGACCGAGTTGGGCATTGGAAAATTAGAAAGTCACGACAGAACATTTGGACAATGTTGTCATTTGTTCGGTTAGCCTCGGAATTGTCCGAATCCTTCAGAAAAATCGAATTTCGGCGAGAAATGGAAAATGACCATTTTACCCCTGGAAATTTGTTAAGGCCAATGTAATTTGGGAAGGGCATTTTGGTCATTTCGCCCTAACCTTAGAAATAGAGATTTTTGGACAAGTTTGCCCTTGGACTTTTTGTGAAATTCCCAAATTGCCCTTGGATATTTTGGAAAAAATTCGATCCGGACTGTCGATCTCAAGATAAGATCAAATCTAGGCCGTTGATTTGGATTGTGAGAGAGGGGCATGATGGTCTTTTGGCATCTCAATTATTGACTTGGATTATTTAAAGCCAAATCTCCTTCTCTCTCCTCACTCTCTCACTCCCACTCTCGGCTCTCTCTCTCTCCCCTTCTTCCCGACTGAACCAGCCACCCCCTCCCCTCACCGTGACCGTCGCCGTCCACCAAGGCTGGTCGCCGCTGCCGTCCACCCGTCCAGCCGGAGTTGCCGCACGCCGGAGCTGCCACACGCCAGAGCCGCCGCTCGCCTAGCCCAGCCGCTCCTCCACCGTCCTTCTCTCTCTCCTGTTCTGCCTCACCGAACCACCACCATCCCTGTCTTGTCCTGTTTAGCCGCCGTCCAGCCAGCCGCCGTCGCCGCCGCTGAGCCGCTCGCCACCGCCGCTTGCCGCCGTGAGGCCACCGGCCCACCGCCCCCTTTCCTCTCTAGCCGAGCTAGTCTAGAGTTCGTGTAAGTCGCCTCCTAAACCCTATTAAGGATGTCGGGTATCGATTGACGCGATTAGGGGTGGAATTGGACTTAATTAGATGCGGTTTTGGATAAATAAGTGGCTGTTTAGGGATTAATTTAGTGGACCGGTTTGAGGATTGATATTGGCTGAATTGAGGTTGAAATGGTGAGGTTTCGGGACTGATTTGAGGCCGAGTAAAGTGCTAGACATTGTGGATTGAATCGACGAGCATTTGGCTCGATTTAGGGGCATGTGGTGTCGGTTTGACGCGTTATGTGGTGGCTGGAATTGTGGTGTTTGATATGGCTTGGAATGACCATGAAAATGCTGAAATTGTACTCATAATGTGGCTGTGATTGTGGGCCCGTTAGTAGCCATGTATGTTTGTTGTATCGTGAGCTGATTGATTTAAATGTGGGCTATTATGTGCACACTTGGGCTGAATTGAATTTGATTATCAATTAGCCGTGTTGGGTGCTTAATAAGATTGAGAAATGTGTGTGGTTTGGTGCATGCACGGGCTAAGTGTGATTGGCCAATATATTGGCATGTGAGTGTTGAGCATCTGAACGAGTGAGAAATCCCGTGTGATGTGGTATGTGTGGTTACGGAAATCCCTGAGGCGGTATCATTACGCGGGGAATTAATCCGTCCTGAGGCGGTACGATTACGCGGGACGATGCCCGGTATTACCAGAGGACGGCCAACCTGAGGCGGTACCATTACGCGGGTTGTGTCGTAGATGGTAGGTGTTGAGCCTGAGGCGGTACCATTACGCGGGCGAGATACACGGCCTGAGACGGTACCATTATGCGGGCCATGAAGTGTTGTTATGAGTTAGTCGCAGTGAACCTGAGGCGGTACTACTACGCGGGTCACTAACGAGTCGAGTGGAAAATGTGAGATGGTCGCAGTGAACCTGAGGCGGTATTACTACGCGGGTCACTGGCGAGTTGGGTGAAAAGAATGTGATGAGGCAGGAACGAATGCATGAAATGTAATTAAAATGTGCATGTGGTTGGAAATTGTACTATTGTGGCTAACGTGCAGGTTGCACGCAAGAAAGGCCCGGGTAAGTATAAATTGTGTGCCTGCTATGTGATGGCTGAGTGTGGTTGTGTTTGTGATTGTCTGGAGGTACGTGATAGCCTAGGTGGGGTTTAGGGTGTCTACTTATTGAGATGTGATCTCATAGTTGTTTCAACCAACAATTTCAGAACCCTGGCCTGAGACATGAATCTTCCGCCACCACCGCCACAGCGTTTTGGGATTCCTATGCACACCGATCACGACGTCGTAGAATACCCTATAGATGATAACATGACCTGGATAAGCATACTACGGTAGTTTGGGTAGACGTAGGACTACCCCTCTGGTAGGCCCATACGTACACTGCCTGGATGTTCAGAGACGGGATAGATGAGTTCGGTCTCGTCCGTGGCTTTGATGTCCCTTTTGACGGAGTTGGGGACTAGGACCCATCAGCCATACCACCTCCTGGCGGAGAGATGACTAGTCTTGAGACTAGTCTGACGCAGTCTGGGCATCAGGCCGCACCTGCAGCACCTGGACCTCCCGCGGCTAAGCCTGATCCGGAGCCGGAGGAGTCCCAGGCAGGGTACGACCCCATGGATGTGGACCTTGAAGTAATTCCAGAGGAGGAATCAGAAGAAGAAAAAGACCTTGAGGATGAACCTGAAGAAGCCCCAGAAGTAGAGCCTGATGATGAGCCCGAAGAAGAACCCGAGTATGCACCCAAGTACGAGCCAGAGTATGAGCCAATGTACGATCCCGAGTTTGTGCCAGAGGACAAGTCAGATGAGGAGCCAGTTGAAAAGGAACGAGTCGAGGTTCTAGCGGAGTCGGGTGATATAAACAACTCGATTGAGATCGAGGCCGAGCCGGAGTCCTCAGAGGAGCAGACGGTTCAGGGGGATTCAGATTCGAGTGCCGAGGAGTCGGACTCAGAGTGGACGCCGTCTCGTGGGCTTAGGGGCTAGTTTAGGGGTTGGGAGTAGGCTTTTTGAAGTGTACCATTTTTTATGATAGGGTACCCAGGCTATCGATCATTTTGACATCGGTGGTATATAGTGTAGAAGTTCGGTGTGCTTCTATATATTGTGGTTTGTAAATAGTGGATATTGTCTAAGTTTGAATCGATAATGGAGGTGTTTATCTCCCCTTTTTACCCCAATTGTTATTGTCCGGGTATTTATGGCTTTCGCTGATTGTCTTAAATCTCTGATAAGTTGAGTTGGGTCGGCGATACCCTGGGACGTCGCATCATTTGACCAGAGAAGGGTGTTGCGTGCTCGATGGGGTTTGGGGCGTGACAAAACTATTTCCATCTCTCGTTGGTACATTCCTCTGGAACTAGTTCAAGTGAGACAAGAAGCACACTATGCATTCTAATCACCGCACTCCAAACTAAGTTAAGATACCTACTTATTGTCTCTTTGGACCTCATAAATCTGAACTTGATGACACGATTTTTCACATGATGGGCAAGTATATGTAGGAACATTGCCATTTGTTCTTCTATAGTTACAAGTCCATCTTCTTTTAACCCACCAATTGTACTTGCCAACTCGCATAGTAGAGTAAATGTATGTCTATCCATCCTAAGTTTTTCCACACAATTCAAGTCACTATTGTTAATAAGGCAGTTAAGGTGATCTAATCGAGCTTGGCTTCTAACAAATGTGCGATCCTTCAATATATGCTTACGGTAGTGCCTTTCAGCAGCAGTGGACATCACAATCATATACATCATACACAAAAGCAACATCTGTAGGTCCATCTCCTCTAATATCAGAATGCTAAAAATTTCCTCTCTATCATTGTGATCCCTTTCTAATAAGGAAAAAAAAAACGATAACATTAGGCAAATACAAATTGACAGGTTAGATAATAGTAAAATAAAGAACAATATCTTTTTCAAATCAATAGATTTTCGTAGAATATATTCGAATCAATC